ATCTTCTGGACAAGAATGCCAAGTCAGCCTCTCTTCATAAAAAGCAATTACAATCTGAGGACATTTCATATTTGCCTCTCTGGCCAGCACCAAGTCAGCCTCATCTGAATCCTTCTATTTCATGAGAAACATCAGTTCTCCACTACTGTCTGTGGCACCAATGATTGGTTCAGGATCAAAACCTCTGGCAAAGCCTCTTGGTTTATCAGCATCTGTTTTCTTCTTAGATTTGCTCTCATGAGATTCACTGTCAGATAAAGATTTTCTCTTTGTACCATCTTTTTCTTTACCAGCTTTTTGAGAATTAAGAAATGCTTCAATTAACTCTGGACAATCTAAATTTTCTTCAGGTTCCCAAGTATTATCAGCATCTGTAAATCCCTTCCACTTCAGGAAATACTCCACCTTCCCATTCACTACACGTCGATCCAGTACTTTCTCTACCAGAAATTCTTCAGGCTCTGCCTCTTCAACTTTTTTACTCTTTCCATTCTGTTTCTTTCCCATTTTTTTGCAATGTAGTTTTATTGGAGGCCATTTTTAAAAATTGCAGACTTGAAGAGCTCCAGATGAAGTCAAGCCACCGACTTCACCGCCAGGATGCTACTGGCTACGGGTCCTGCAGCATCTCCAGATAGCGTGCCTCAGCTCAGCCTCATCCAAGGGGAGGGGCGCGGGCTCCCGTCATCTTTATTTCTTATTTTGAGAACTTTCTGTTCAGCTCCTTAGCCCATCTTTTTTAAAAACAAATTTATTTACCATTTTTATTTTATGGGTATACGTGTATTGCCTGCATGTAGGTAAGTGCACCTGTGTCCTGCAGTGCCAGCAGAGGTCAGAAGAGGCTGTTGGATCCCCTGGGACTGGAGTTATAGACAGTTGTTAGCTGCCATGTGGGTGCTGGGATTTGAACCTGGGTCTTCTGCAAGAACAACCAGTGTTCTTAACTGCTAAGCCATCTCTCCAGCCCCCTTAGCCCATCTTTTAATTGGGTTACTTCCTTCCTGATGCTTTGTGTTTTGTTTGTTTGTTTGGTCTTTTTGAGGCAGAGTCTCCCTGTAGCCCCAGCTGACCTGGAACTCACTATGTAGACCAGGTTGGCCCCCAGCTGACCTGGAACTCACTATGTAGACCAGGCTGGCCTTGAACTCATGGAAAACCACCTGCCTCTGCCTCCCAGTGCTGGTACTAAGGGTGTGAGTTCTTTATATATTCTGGATGTTACACCTCTGTAAGATATGTCACTGGTAAAGATTTTCTCCCACTCTGTGGGTTTTCTCTTCACTTCTTTGGTTGCTTCTTTTGATGTACAGAAGTTTTTTGGTTAAATGAGGTCCCATTTGTTGATTCTTGACCTTATTTCCTGAGCAATTGGTGTCCGGTGTAGAAAATCCTTTCCTACACCTATATCTTGTAGGTTATTGCCAATGTTTTCTTCTAAAAGTTTCAGAGTTTCGGGCTTCACAACACAAAAACATCAATTTAAAAAAAAGTAAGAAAATCTTGAGTAGAGAGATAGGGTCCATTTAATTCTTTAGTGTCTCTAGGGCTACACATCTAGCTGCCCCCTACTGGGAAAGGCCAAGGTGAGCCAACAAATTTGTCTTTCTAGATAAAGGGGTAAATTTTGTGAGGTTCTGGTAAATTTTGTGAGTATGTCAGTTCTCCAGTTTCTAGATAGAGGAATAAAATACCGCTGAGGAAGGAATGTAGTCATGGTTTAACATAAAATCAATTTTAAGAAAAACCTCTCAGACCCAATATTTTACGTATGCTTTCTAATGGCACCTCTGTAGATCATCTATCCCTCAAGGTAGTTCTAAAGTGGATTTTCCCAACTACTCTTGGGGCAACGAAGCTTGGAGACATTGGCTGAGTGAGCTTGTGACTCACACCTCAGATGAATTAATAAAATTTGAGAGAAAAAAAAAAACCAAACTAAAAATGAACCTACCATTTGACCCGGTTATACCACTCCTTCGCATACATCCAAAGGACTCATCCTATTGCAGAGACACTTGTATATCCATGTTTGTTGCTGCTCTTTTCACAATAGCTAAAAGATGGAAGCAATTTAAATGTCCTTCAATTGACCAGTAGATAATAAAATGTGGTGCATTTACACAATGGAATTCTGTAAAGAAAGATGAAATCATGAAACTTTCAGGTAAATGGATGGAACTAGAAACCGTTATACTAAGCAAAGTAACACAGGCTCAGAAAAACAAAAGACGTATGTTCTCTTCATTTGTGGATCCTAGCACCAAATCCTGATAAGTGAGTATGTATCCTGATGTAACTGCAGGAACCAGGATAATGAAAAGGAATCAGGGAGGTAAAGGAAAGAAAGAACCTGAGAGAGAAGAACAGTAGGAGCCAGGTGTTACTAAGGGAGAAATGGAAGTGGGGCACTTAAATGGGAGGGGAGAAGGAGAGTTATACAAGGAACTTTGGGGATAAAGGGAAAGAAGGAACTCAAGAGAGGTGGGACCATAGGAGACTGGTATTATCATGGAGAAATGGGGGAAAAGGGGACACTTTAAATGGGGAAGTTATGGTGCAAGGGTTAGATGGAGAAAGGGAGGAGATAAATAATGCCTACTTAGTGTAAAAAACTAGAGGAAATCCTATTAGTCAACAACCTAATAACAGATTACACATATAATATCTCTAAATGAGTCCATGTGTATAGCTAAAAGCTATATAACAAGAAACAATACCAGACAGGAGAAACCTTCCTTTGACTTTAGTGTTATTATTAAAGTAATACATGCTCATAATATAAATTTTGTTTGTTTTTGATACAGGGTCTCATGTATCCCAGGCTGGCCTTGAACTTGCTGTGTAGGTGAAAATAGTTTTGAATTCCTATTCTCCTGCCTCCATCTCTCAAGCTCTGGAATCGTAGGCATGCACCACCCAGTTTAAACAGTGCTAAGGATCTAATTCAGGGCTTCATGCATGCTAAGCAAGTACTCTACCAACTGAGCTACATTCCCAGCTCATAATACATATTTAATAGTATAAAAAAGAAAGAGATAGATTTGATACCAAATGTTTATGCCATGTTGAATTATTCCTTTTTCATTAAAGGAAAACAAAAAACTTTTCTTGACAAAGCCACACAAACTAAAATCAACATTGCCTTCAAAATGCTGTTCCATTTGTGATTTTAAATGTTTGAATAAAATGTAAATTTAAGAAAATATTTCCTCTGTGGTAAAGCAAATATGAGAAGTGATATCTTCTAAACACATAGAGAAAAAATATACCAAAATATTGATAATGATTATCTCACTATGGTAGTGTTTTAGTGAGTTTTACTCTCTTGAGACTTTTCTGTGTTTTCTATCCAAATGAACATGTGTCACTCCATCAGGTTAATCAGCCTTTTCAGATGTCATTTGTGGCTAGTTTTCATAGCTCTATATGTACCCTCTTTTGTAGGTTGGTGTAGACAGACGTCATGAGACCGTAGTGGTGGAACTGCAGTGCTCCCAGGTCCCCAGAGACTGTCCATTTGGGATTTCTGCACACTTCCTCCTGACTGACAGCATGCAGGTGATGTTTTTTATTTCATTTGCTATGTGTTAGCTCACCCCTCATTACTAACTTTCTTAAAAGAGTCAAGGAACCAGCTAACCTGCTAGACTTTAAGAAAAATATTTATTTTTAAGCAGGGCATGATGGCCTATGCCTGTAATTTCAGTACTCAGAAGGGAGGCATAGACAAGTGGATTTTTGTGAGATCAAGGCCAGCGTGGTCTACATAGTGAGTTCCAGGCCAGCTGGGGCTACAGGGAGACCCTGCCTCAAAAAACAAAAGAAAACAAAACAAAAAATTTATTTTTGTATGTGTTTGAACATTTTGCCTGCATGATGTAAGTGTACCACATGTGTACCATACCCATGGAGGCCAGAAGAGGGCATTGATTTCCTGGAACTGGAGTTACAGGTGGTTCTTAGCCACCATGTGTGTGCTGGGAACTGAACCTGGGGTCCTTTGCAAGTATAACCAGTACTCTTAACCTCTGAGCCATCTCTGTGGCACCCTAGCTAAACTTTTTATTCTTACCTGGTGTCATAGTAACCAGATAACAAATACTTTGTTGTTTGTTGGCTGAAAGATATTTGTTTCTCCCAAGTCTGGAGGCTGAAAGTCCAAGATCAAAGTGCAGCAGAGATCCTCCCCCTCCTTCCCTCCTTCTCCTTCTCCTGATCCTGCTCTTCCTCCTCTTCTTCCTCCTCCTGCTCCTCCTCTTTCTCTTTTTTTCTTCTAATTTCTTTTTTAAAATGAGACAGAAGGTCTTGCTCTGTATTCCAGGCTGGCATCAAACTTGTGGCAGTCATCCTGCTTTAGCCTCCCTGGTGCTAGGATTACAAACATCAGCTACCACGTCTGGCTCACAAGTCTTCATTGCAGTCCACTGTGACAGCTCTGGCTCTGCAGTGTGTGTGAAGTGCTGAAGGCTCCTGTTCACAGAATCCTAGAAATAGCAAATAAGGCTTTGCAGAGGCCATGACCTTTGTCTTATTTCAATGTCAAGAGCATGGTTCTAACCTAAAGCAATCCTGAAACAAAAATAAGTCCAGAATTAATGCTTAAAAGTCAAATAAAATATGCAATAAGCAACACCCATAAGGGTATCTTTTCAACTACACATACTTACAGACCTACCCTGGGCCAGGAGAAAAGCAGCCAGTAAGACAGAATCCATTCTTCAGTAGCAGAAGTCCTCACACTGATCTACACAGGCTCTCGAAACGTCTCATTTTGCCTCCAGTTCAGGTGTCACTCAGGTGCACAGGAAAGACACATGCACATCAAGTGGTAACAAGATCCACTCATCTGAGAAGCCCTGACCCTCAGGAGCTTATATCTGTCATAACATGGCTTCCAGATGATCCTGGGGAGTGTTCTGTGAATTGCCACTCCCAAAGCTTTGGTTTCCCACCATTCATTTGTTGAAGTCCTAGACTTGGTACAATTTACCAAAGAGATGTCACTGCTAATTAAGTAATTTTGCTTAAAATTACAGCTGACTGTTTTTGGAGGGTGGTAGGTATGCATTTTAAGACAGGGCCTCACTCCTGTCTCTCAAGTGTTGAGATTACTAGCCTGTACTTCCACCACAGTGTTAGAAGTGACCTTTATCAGGTTTCCATGGGGAATCAAATGTGTCCACGCAGGGGAAAGAAATTTATTAACACTGTACCCCCAAATATATGTTATATTTATCCTGTGGAGGATTTAGTTATTTGGGTAAAAAATAAGCAAAAGCCAAGTTGGAAACTATGACAGTCTGTGTTATCATTAAAGTTAAAAAGAACAAAACTGTAGCACTGCATAGGCCATCTGTGCTCCTGGGCTAGCACTCCAGCAGAGGCTTGTTGGGGGAACCTGTTCACCTTGATAAGAATGAGACTCAGCTAACTTCATGAAGCCATCTTGATGGAAACCATCCAAAATTTTATAGTTAGACAGCTTTCCATCACTTAACACAATTCCTGAAATAATTAATTTAGAAAAAGAAGAGGTTTAGGGCTGGGGGTGTCACTTAGTGGCAGAGGACTTGCCTAGCAGATATGAGGCCCTCCGTTCTCTTTCATCCTGGGACAGTCAAGATCCAAACTCCCACATCTACCTTCAGAGATGGAGTGGCTTGGGAAGATGCTTCCTTTCTGCAAGTTTCAGAGGTGGCCTGCAGCCATGTGTCTTTGAGTATATCTCCTCTCTGGGACTGCACACCTCAGAGTCAGGCTTGGCTAACACCTATGAGGAGACTAGGACTCCTGAATGGGGCAAGACCTCCCATATTCTCTGGGTCAGTGTTAACATAAATACTCACTGTGGTGGGATGGGTTTCCAAGAAGAGCAGAAAGTGCCACGTGTGAGGGCAAGTCTTGGGCGTCTGTGCCTTTCCCAGCCTTTCCCACTTTTGCTTGATTGTCTGGCTTTCCTGCCTTTTTCTTTGCTGGAAACTCATGTTTGTTTTGACTATAGCCTGTTTCCAACAGTACCATCCTTTACAAGATATTTTTCTTTTCTTCCATACCCCTTATTTATTTTTCACATTTCCAAAAACAGTGCAACCCCAGTCTTCAAAGTTCATTAGAATAGTTTGCAAAGTACAAATCTGAATGTTTGAGTGACCACCTCTCCCACCAGGAGTAAAATAGACCTTTTCTCTCTGTTCTGCCTGCTCAGGCTTTTTTCCCATTTACCTTCAGCTTTAAGGCTACCTTTGTGAAAATTGGAAGATTTAAGTAATTTTTTTAAAAAAAAAGGAAACTAATTTATAAATTACCTTTATGGCAGGGAGTAAGTATTCATTGAAAACTAACATGTTAATAAGTTATTGTACCTTTTCTGTATACTTATAATTCACAGACTAGAAGAGAGATCACTGTAAAGCAAACCTCTGAAGGTGCAAGTGAATATTATGAAAATTACATTGAAGATCTGAAGAGAAAAGGATTTCTGCTCAGAGAAGACTTTACACCTGCAGCAACCCAATTAGCATCTGAAAAATTACAAGCAGTAAGATAACAGATACTTGTATGTTGTGCTGACTGAAGTAGAAGGTAGCTGTGGTTGTTTTGTTGGTTTTCTGTTTTTTGGGGGGGGGGCGGGGGAGTAATTTTTTAGACAGTGTCTCCCTCTGTAGCCCAGACTGGCCTCAAACTCTTGGACAATTCTCCTACTTCAGCCTCCCAAGTGCTGAGATTACAGGTGTGTACCACCACACCCAGCTGATTGAATATTGTTAATAGAAATGTTTTCTTGATCACATATGATGACTCACGGTTGTAATCCCAGTACCTGGGAGGTGGAGTTGAGAGGACCAAGTATTCAAGGTCATCCTCAGCTCCATGGTAGTTTGAAGCCAGCCTGGGTTTTATGAAACCCTTCTCAAAGAAAGAAATGCTGTCTATTACAAAGAAAAAAGACTGGCAAGATAGGAGAAGAATTAAGGAAGGAAAGATAAAGATAAAGCTGGAGAGATGGCTCTGCAGCTAAGAGCACTGACTGCTCTTGCAAAGGACCTGGGTTCGATTCCCAGCACCCACATGGTGGTTAACAACCATCCATAACTCCCAATTCCTTTTATAATCTCTGCAGGCATTGCACGCATAGGTGCACTCACATATGTGCAGACAAAATACTCATACACATAAAATACAAATAAATGAATCAAAAAGAAAGATTTCAGTATAATCTGGGCTATGACTCAATGGTCCTTAACCCTGACTGCATATGTTTTATGCCACTGATGGGCCTAAATCCAAGTGAAGGAAAAGAAAAGAAGAAAATGCAATAAAAGCCACAGGAGTAGAGACACTCTAAGAGGAGTGTACAGTGGAAAGGAACAAGGACAGGAAGGCCAGCAGAGAGTGGAGGCCTGAATGCACCAGTGCACTCAGTATCTCAGTCTATTTTGTGTTGTAATCACAAGATACATGAGGTTAAGGACTTTATGAAGATTGACTCAAAGTTCTGATGGCTAGCAGGTTTAAACAGTATGACACTGGCATCTTGGTGAGGGTCCCCTTGGCTACATCACAACATGGAGAGAAACAGAAAGAGAAGCAACACCCCTCCCTCAGGGAAAGCATTCGTGCTGCTCTGCAGACACTGCCCTGTGTTCTCAGTACTTCTCACCAGACCCCACCTCTTAAAGAACACATCACCTCAGCATCTCTACACTGAGGACCACAGTCAGTCCATACACAGCCTTGGGGATACACTCAATCCATTCGCACCCATGCACTTGGCTGTGGGTGAGGACTTTTCCTCAGCTATATTGTTTCTTCTCATGCTTTCTTTCTCAGTCTGAATATTTGTTTTGTTTTGCTTTGTTTGTTTGTGATACTGGAGACGGAGTCCAGGGCTCCGAACACACGAGGCAAGTGCTCTACTACTGAATTACACCCCTGCACCTGTGTCAGTTTTATACAGAATAGTTCATGATGACTTCTTGGGTATGATTCTCTGTCATTTTGTCATTTCAGTTGCTTTTGGAGGAGGTCATAGATTCAAGCTCTCTGAGCCAGGAGGTGAGCGATTTTGTGGAGATGATTTGGGCAGAAACTCTGGGTCATCTGGAGCACACACTTCTCAAGCCTGTGAACAGGATGAGCCTCAATGATGTAAGTCAAGTGTGTCATTGAACTATGACAAACCTGCTTCCTGGTGTGCTGACATAAATGCATTCATGTGCTAGTTAGAGTGAAGCCCACTCCTCCTGCTCTTTCTTCATCCCTGAAGAAAGGGAGCATTGAGAGAACCAGGGAGAAGATGGGCTTCCCAGGAAACTAGATGTCCTTGTCTATACAGTGTCAGCTTTTGGTGATGGCCAATTAGGAAGCCTGAGCTTTGGAGCCAAGAGGTTTGTAGCATGCCTAAGGAACATGGGTGTTTTTGGTCCTAATCAGATGCCCAGCACCTGACCTGCTTAACAATTCTTCAGTCTTTCACCTCACTGTCTTGGGAAACGCAAACATTTGGCTCACCAGAAAATGCTATTCTATTCTTGATTATGTATAATCACAATTGAAAGAGCAAATGGAAGAAGATATTCCCAGTGATTTATCTTGTGCAGCTGAGTTGTTCTATGAAGACAATGCAGGTAGTTTCTGCCTGTGGAATGAAGCTAATTTGTTTCAGGGGAAAACAGGTTTCCTTCAGTAAGGTCCTTAAAGCTCTTGTGCAGTTAGGAACATGGACTTGGTTTGATGCTGACATCTTTCTACATTTCTCTATGAAAAGCAAATCCCCCAGAGTTGCCTTAGTCTTCTTGTATGTGTACATATGTACATGTATATAGAAATATGAGACTCTGCATCTCTCTTGAGATATAGCCTCTGGTCAGTTGTCCATGATCCAGTAAATAGCCCCACACCCATGTACATGTAAGCAACCGTAATTAAACCCAGTGGGTTGTTAAAAAAAAAAAAAGGACACGACTTTAGAAGGGGACATGTTGGGAAGAAGAAGTGCTCCAGAAGGAGTGGGAGCGGGATAAGAGAGGGGAATGGGGGAAGTAGGATTCTGATCAAGATACATGTATAAAAGTATGAAATTATCAAAGAATAAATTTAAAAATATTTTTTAGGGCTGGAGAGATGGTTCAGTGGACCTTGCAGAGTACCCAGCTACAGTTCCCAGCACCCACATGGCAGCTAACAACTATCTATAACTCCAGTTCCAGGGGATCCGACGCCCTCCACTGGTCTCTACCAGCACCACACACATATGGTGTACTTATATACATACAGGCAGAACACTCATACACATAAAGTAAAAAGAAATTAAAATTTGCTTTTCAATTTGTTTTATAAAAAGAAAGAAGAGATACCAGTTCTTTTCTTCACTTAAGCTGAGACCAGCTTTAGAAGAATACTCCTGGCATCATGTTTCACTAAATTTTCCTTTTCCCGCTGGGAGACCCGCCCCCACTCAGGGTCTCGGGTCCTGGCTTTTCCTTGTCCATGTTTGAAATGCACGCGTCATCCATACCCTCCCCTTGGTGTTTGCCTGTGCTCAATATGGCTCCACCCTTTTTTCCCAGTGTGTGCTCTGTGTAGCCTTCTCACTGGTCCAAGTGCCTCATCTCCCCTGACTGAGGTGGACCCACTGTGCTTGAAAGTCCACACCCAAACATAAGTCCAGTGGCTTCCCAACAGCCACACAAAATGGCGAGTGAGTGGCCTTCTGATTTTCCTGGCTTATACCTCCCCACCCCTTAATGGGCTTGATTCATTCCACAGAGCGTGGGAAGGAGGTGGGACCATGGTTTATCAGAGGAACTTCTGGGTCACACATCATTGTCCCAATTGAGCTATACCTTGAGATCAGAATTTGTAGTGTTAGTCAATTTTCCATCACTATAAGGAAATACCTGAGATGACCCATTTATAAAGAGAGAAAGTCCTGGCAACCGAACCTGGGTCCTTTGCAAGAGCAACTAGTGCTCTTAACCACTGAGCCATCTCTCCAGCCCCCAAGAAAAAGTTTGTTATGGCTCACAATTTTGTAACTATGAGACCATGATGGATTGGCTCTGCTGTTTTAGGCTTGTGGTGAGGCAGCACATCACAGCAAAAATGTATAGTGGAGCAAAACCTTTCACCTTGTGGCCAGAAAGCAAGAAAAGAGAAATGGGCTAGAGTCTCAAACCACCCAATGTCTTACACATTCCCACTAGGTTCCACCAACTCCCTGAAGCGCCTCCCTAGTGACCAAGCTTTGAAACATGGGGCCTTAGAGAAGCATTTACAAACCAAACTATTGTAGCAGCAGTCCATAGAAGATTGGTAGCTGCAAAATGTCCAACAGTTATTTTCAACATTTTTTTTGGTCTTTTTGAGACAGGGTCTCTCTGTAGCCACAGCTGTCCTGGAACTCACTATGTAGACCAGGCTGGTCTTGAACTCACAAAGATCCACCTGCCTCTGCCTCCCAAGTGCTGGGATTAAAGGCGTGCGCCACCACGCCTGGCTTATTTCAACATTTTTATATATGGCTCACTTCTATGACTATCAAGATTTTAAGTTTAATAAACAGGTACACTTTTCTGTTTACAGGTGAGTAAGGCAGAGGGGATTCTCCTTCTAGTAAAGACTGCACTGAGAAATGGAGAAACGACAGAGAAATTGCAAGAAAAGATGGCTGAGTTCTACAGACTGATACCCCACACGCATCCAGAAGCTGAAGAAATTAACTTGAGACTATTAGCTAAGAAAGAGGACCTATGCCAGGTAATCCCTTGGGATAGAGTTAGTTTAAAATGAGTTGGGGGGGCATGTCTTAAAAAAATATAATGTCTAAAGCTAGGTGTAGTGATACACCTGTAATCCCAGCACTCAAGGGAGGTAGAGGCTGAATGATCAGGAGTTCAAGGCCAGCCTCAACCACATAGCAAGTTTGAGACCAGTCTGGACTAGATGAGACCCGGTCTCGAAAAAAAGATGTGTAAGATATGTATATAACTGGAGAGATGGCTCAGCGAAGAACACTTGCTACTCTTCCAGAGGACCCAGGTTTGTTTCCCAGAACCCACATGGAGGTTCACAATTGCCTGCATACACATGGTGCATACACATGCACATAAAATAAATTAAATAGGGACTGGAGAGATGGCTCAACAGTTAAGAGCATTGACTGCTCTTGCAGAGCACTCAGCACTCACATAGCAACTAAACCATCCATAACTCTACTCCTAGGGGATCTGATGTCCTCTTCTGGCCTCCAGAGGCATTGCATAGGTGAACTTACATACATACAGACACTCATACACATAAAAGAAAAATAAATAAATAGCTGGGTGTGGTGGTGCACATCTTTAATCCCAGCACTTGGGAAGCAGAGGCAGATGGATCTCTGTGAGTTCAAGGTCAGCCTGGTTTACATAGTGAGTTC